TGAGGATGCGGGGCTGACCAGCGAGGTGGCTCAGTGGTGAGATATCTGTTCTGCAGCAAGAAGGAACATCCAGAAACAGCAACAGGGAGAGGGGGAAGAGGGGTTTTGCATCCAGGGATGGGGCAGGACCCAGCCCTGCTCACAGCCCTCAGCAGAGATTCCCCCAGCAGCACGAGGCACCAAAGAAGCCTCCAGCCCTGCTCTTCCCATGTCCTGCCTCGGCTGCTCTCCCTCTGCTTGCATCATGGAAACAAATCTCTCCTCCACCCATTCTCTGGCACAGCCCCATGCAGCCACACGCTGGCTCCGCTCCTCCCCTGCCCTCTTCCTTCTCTTGGTGCTGCATCCCTGCAAGGAGGAGAGCAGTGATGGAGCTTCCACCTCTTCCTCCTTCTTTCCTTGTCATCCGCCAGCGAGAACCGATTAAAGCAGCCGAAGCTCAGCCCTTCCCTGCTTCCCGTTTAATTTCAGCCCCCTGGCAAGAAAGGACATGATAAAATGTGAGATTAAATGCCTAATACCAAGGATTTGGGATTACTCAGGCTGGATGCTTCGAGGGAGAGACGTCTCGGTTATAGGGCGGTTTCTGCTGGCTGCTCCTTCCCATGCCTCCTCTTCTTGCTCTGCTCCTGAGAGCTGTATGGTTGATGGATGTGCCGTGGAAAGGATGGGCTCCCACATTCCTGCCCCAGAGTGCACAGGGATGAGGTTTCTGCATTCGTAGGTAGCAGCATCAAACGATCCCTATCTCAACCCAAGAATAAATCACCCTGAAATCCCACTGCTCCATATTCGGTCCTGGAGGATTTCAGGCTCTGATGGCTGTGAAGTTGCTGCTGATTTATTAATGGCCACTTCCCACACATTAGCTCCAACAGCTCCATCCTCGTGCAGCAGCACACCCCGCTCCCTGCCCACCATCTGCTGCCAAGGTCAGGCATGGGGAGATGCCGGAGCCCAACTGTTTCCTGGAAATAGGTTTCTAGATTTCCATCCCCACAACTGGCCCTTTGGAACAGCAGAAGGACACCAGGAGCTGTTTGTGTCTTTTCCATGCGCTTTTGCCCAATTCCTGCCCGATCCTGGGGCCACAACTCCCTGCCTGTGCCCTGGAATGTTGTGTAGGGACATCGGAGAGATGCTGAGATGTGGCCGATGGGTCGAGGAGGGGATAAAGGCAGGGTGAGCACTGAGACACAGCTCAGCATCCTCTGACCTCACTGCGACAACAACTGCAGAGCACAGAAGGAGGCGGCGGTGCAGCTTTGGGGTTCCCTGCAGCGCTGGGCAGCTCTCTGCATCCTCCCTGCTGTGCTGCACCCATCCCAGCTGCCAACACAGCAGAGCCGAGGCCGACCCTGCGGCGTCTGAGGGAGGAGGAGACGAATGGAAATGACAATTGTCTTCCCACAACGGCTGCGTGGAGCTGGAGCAGTTATGGCTCGTTTCTAAATGAAGCGGCAATCTCCGAATATTGCCTTTCTGTGAAATATTCCATCCCAGCTTCAGCTGAAGCACTTTGCTTCGGCTTTTATTTTCCTTACCTCCACATTAGCAAGCGCTAATGCTTGGTAATTTAGAACATAACCTAAATGCCAAACCAAAACGTTCTGATGAGTTTGCTGAGAAGTTGGGCGCTTCTCCGAAACCTCCGTCTGCCCCCATGTGCACTTTGGGATGGAGAGGGGCTGGGGATGATTTTCTCTGCGTTGTTCCCTCCTACACCGGGAGCTGTGCCCGCATCCCATGTGAGCCCAGCAGCCAAAGCAATGCACAGCCCCAATGCTGGGACAGCAGGCATGTAAATGCAACCACTGTGTTCTCCCTCATAAATAGTTCCAGCACAGCACCTGGCTGCGCTCTTGTGAACCTTTAGCTGCGTAAAGCTCAGCAGAACCACGCTGTGCCTGAAGTTGTTTGGGTGTTTGGGAGGAAGGAAACCATTCCCAGAGCTGTGCACGGGATGGAGTGCTGCAATGGGCAGCATTGCTTTACATGGCAGTGCAGCAGGGAGCTCATAAATCAGCACTGTGTGGTACCACTGGGGGTGAGAACACAGGGCAGCGTGGGGCAGCGTTGGCAAAACAGTGTTGTAAATCACAGGGAGTTGAGGCCTGGAGTTAAAGCTTGGGAATGCATTGAATTGGCTCTGATTGTTTTGTAAATTTGGTGGACTTTTTTAACCTTCAAAGGTACACCAATTTTCTTATATGTGAAACGATGGCATTTCCAGGGCTCAGATCTTCGGACTTTTCCAAGTTCTTGCTGAAAAATTGGAGGTAATTTGTTTTCCAGAGACACAGAGATAACGAGACTGTATTTGCAGAGCACAGGGTAGGGGTTTGTGTGCCTGTTTGCATTTGCAGCCACCAGAATGGCTGTAACCCCCATATAAATGGAGCCACCTCTGTAGCTGATGGTGCAGTTCTTATCCCCATGCACTCAGAATCCAGCACTGTGTTTGCAGGTGTGTACCACAGAATACATCTGGAAGGGCTTTGGAAAAGCCCAGGTTCCTTCCTCTGCCTTGGAGTTGCTCCCAGTGCCTTCCCCAGGTCTCCCTACAGTCACAGAATCCCACCCTGGTAGCAGAAGGGAGTCTGGATTCTCCCCCAGGCTTCCAGCCATGGAATTCCCTGCCTCCCCCCAAAATGTGGCATGCAGATCCACAGGCAGTGCTGCAGCAGTGAGTACTGCCCATCACCATCCATGTTCTGCTCTTTGCAGCCAACCAGCAGGGAGTGCATCTCTCTGTGCCTCAGTTTCCCCGTTGCTCAGTGTGTCCACATTGTGCTCAGTGCATCCTCGTGCCTCCAAGCCTGGCCTTGGCCATGGGATGGGTGCTGCAGTGCTGTGCAGAGGTGCTGTCCCCATCCCACCCCATCCCACCCCATCCCACCCCATCCATTGAGGCAGGGAGCAATGAACAGCCCCAGTTCCTCTCTCCCCTCTTTGCTCTCAGGGAGGGCTCTGCAGCCTCAGCGCTCGGTGCCAGATCCCTCTCCAACAGCTGTATGTTCTCCAGCATGAGTCATCCCACCCTGAGCTCTCAGCCTCTCCATAACAACATTCCTTCTCTCTGATCTAAGATCCTGGCTGTGATCAGTCTCTGTCTCCTTCTCCTTCCTCCGGCCATTCGGTTCCTGTGCCCAACTGAGGCAGCACAGAGCCAGGATGCTGTGCCAGGACCACCAGCCCCCAGCACCTGAAAAAAGGCTGCAGTTCCCTTCCCCATTCTCCTATATCAAGAGCGAGGTGCCCGATTACCACGAGATCTAGGTTTTATTTCCCCTCTCAGACAGTAACATTGATTCACTTTTCTTATTGTCTTTGTGCTGTTCCTCCCCGTTTCTGTAGCAGTGCTCCAAGCTCTGGTCCTGCTCATCTCCCACTCCACAGTGAACTCCTCCCCGAGATCCTTCTTCTCTATTCCTGGTGCCCCTTTGCCCTCTCTGCATTACTTTTTCCTCTTCTCTCCACTCCTACGGGTGTTGTCTCACTTTCAGTGAGAAGGAGGAGGTGTGGGGACAAGGGAAACATCTCTCAATGTCCTCTGTGCCTGCTTCCCCCATCCTCGGTCATGTTCATGGTGGCAGTGACACTTGGGGTGTCAGGAGGTGATCTGGATTTGGAATATTGCAATGGAGCAGGCTCCAGTGCTCCAGTTGGGAGGGATGGAGCTCAGTGCCTCTCTGTCAGCTCATGCTCCTGGCGTTGAGCTCTCATCGCTTCCAGCTCCAGTTCCTTGGCTGGCTCCACCTGGCAGCTGAGGATGGAAGTCAAATTTTGCTCAAAAGCATTTAATTTCTCCTGGATCAAGGAGAGCCCGGATATTTTCCTGTGATAGGAAAGGGAGAACAGGCTGTAATCCTCCCTGGGATGCTGCAGTAGTGGGATGCAGGATGAGCTCCCCAGCTCAGTGGGACACCTGTGAACTTGCAGCTGCAGCCGCATCCCAGCCCTCCCTGCTCCAGTTTCTCAGGTGCTGCTTCACCTGAGCATCACAGCAGGGCTGGGAAGGACATCAGCAGCCCTGCAGCACAGCCCAGACTGCGGGTTCCCTTTCTTTGTCGCTGGGTCCCTGGGTGATGTTCCTCTGCAGGAGATGGGTGCACATCCTGAACTCTAAAACCTTTTGCTGGGCAATGCAATAAAACCACGTGGATGCAGTTTGCAGTTGTTCACAGGCCGTGGGATGCTGCTGGTGGCTCAAAGTCACACAGGGAACTGTGGAGCCGTGTTCTGTGGACTAAGCAGGGATCTCGTTTGATGCTCTTAGTTTTATCCCAACCATGGTGAAGAAGGGGAGCGCGAGTTGGGTACGTTTGCATTAAGCCCTGACAAATGCAAATGGCACCGGAGCAGAAGGGAGCTGAATCTCTGTGGCACTGGTTGTGTGCGGTGTTGGTGTGTGTGAGTGACATCGGGTGCGTGGCTTCAAGCAGTGCCTGCAGGGGGGTGGCTGGAAAGTGAACTTCGAGCGGTGCTTTTATTCCAACAGATGCGCTCCGCAACTGCGTGGTTGGAAGGGAGAAAGCAAAGCGTGAAGCACAGGGTCCAGCTGCTGTAGATCCAATGCCCGGCGCAGGCAGACCCGACAGGGCCGGGACGTTGTGCATCTGCTGGGATGCGAGCAGGACGAGGGGCTCCTTCCCGGAGCTCGCTCTTCTTTGGCTCCCATCCTGCGGACCTGGGGTCCGCGCTGCTGGACGGGGGTCGCGAAATCCCCTCTGTGCCGCGACGGCGCTGCGCGAAGCGGCCGCAACTTTTCGTTCCCCTCCTGCCGGGTCGGGGCACGGCGTCTTCTCGCTCTTCCCTCCGCCCTCCTCCTCCTCCTCCTCCTCCTCCCTGGCAATGCTTCGGGCCCCGCGCTCCGCCTCCCCGCGGGGCCGCGGGCGGAGGGCGGGGAGGGGAACCGGCGCCGGGCGGGACGCGCTGCCGCCCCGAGCCGAGCCGAGCCGAGCCGGAGCGAAGGGAGGCGCGCCGCTCCGCAGCCCCTCCATGGCCCCGACCTCCAGAGCTCGGCGGCCCGGGGGAAGCGGCCCCGGCGGGAGGCGACCGCCGGTGAGTGCGGGGATCGGAGCGGGACGGGAGCGGAGCGGATCCGGAGATGGGAGGGAGAGCGGGGTCGGGGCAGCGCTGTGAGCTCGGACTTAGGGACGGACATCAGCCCCGGGCTCGCGCTGTATCGTGCGCACACGCGGGGCTCCCACGGACACGCGTTTGCACGCACTCGTGTGCGTGTGTGCACGAGGGTCGGAGCCGGGAGCTTGGAGCGAAAGCAGATGCACGGCACACACGCGTAGATCCACATGCGCTCATCTACATGCACCTATTCACGTGCACGCCGCTCACGCTTGCACATCCACGCGTGTGCACACATCTACGGGCACACAGCCGTGCACCAGCCGGGATCCAAGACCAGGGAAGGATCGGTGCTGGTGTAGCCAAACTGCAGTACTTTTTGCAGCCTCTCCTCGCTGAGGGTTGACCCGAGGAGTGGTCGCAGAGCAAATAAATACACAGGAATTGATATAGGCACTCCGGAGAGGAGCCACGGGTGGAAATGAACCGTGGATCTCCTGGTGGTGAGGATGAGGAGGGCCTTTCTGCAGCAGCAGCACAGTGTGGACCCACACCTCTGCTCCCAAGTAGGTTTGAGATCCTGCTCATGAGCAGAAGCTTTGCATTCGTGGCCGCAGGGCAGAGCAAAGTAAAGCAGGGCACAGAGCGGAGAAGATGTGAGCGTTCAGATGCTGAAGGGAAGAGTGATCCCAGCTGGGAATACATTGGGAACGCCGACTGCCAGCGCTGCTCTGCGTGTCAGGGATCCCTGGGATGTGCCCTGCCGGACCCCTCACAGTGTGCCTGAGAGCACTGAGCTCCTGGCAGCCCCTGCATCCCTCCCCGCCTCCACTTTGGCAGGGATTGTTGGAGGAACAAAAGGAAAGGAGCCAAATTCTGAGTTTGATCCCAACTCCGTGTGAGACGCAGAGCTGGGGGATTCCCTTCCTCTTCTCTGGGCTGATGTGCGAGGCGCCTGGCTGCCGTCCCTTCTCCTGCACCCTGCTACCCTGCATTGCTTCACACAGGCAGGAATTCTCCCAGGAAACCCCCGAGCTCCCCACGCCTCCTCCCCCTCCAAGGTAGCGAAAAGCTGACATTAGAAATCCGTTCCCCGTTTTAAATTTAGACGCCTGCGTGATCTCGAATTTGGATTTACTAATTATTCGCATCTGGTTCCTATCAAAAAGTTGAGCAATGCAGATGTCCTGATTTCAGCATCGGCTCGGAGGGGTCGCATGGAATTCGCCCTTCGTTGCCTCGTTACACAACGGGGCTGAGTCCCTTCCCAGGCCTGCCCTGAGCACGGTGCCCATCCACCCCGCAGCATCGCCTCGCTCCGGTTGGCTGCCGCTCATTTCCCCACTGTGGAGATCAGTCTAATTAGCAGAGTAAATCTGGGTAAAGCGAGCTCTGGTAATTAGTGATCAGTGGGATGTTTCCACGCACTTTCTTCGCCTTAAGGGTAAGGAGGGATGGAGCAGATGGCCCCGTTTTGGGAGCAGGGAGGGAAGTCGAGGTGAAGGGGTTGGGATGGGTAAGAGGACAGAGCTGTGTGTCTGCTCACTGCCATCCCATGTTCTGTTTCCAAGTGGCATTGGTGACCACAGTGCCTCCAGGGACATTGGGAACCGATGAACTGTCACCTCTGGGCCATGGGCAGAGGGGGAATGGCCACGTCTGGGGGCTGTGAGTCCTGACAGCACTTCAGGAGGTCACCTAAAGGTGGGACCCCAGCCCAGGGCTGGAGCTGGGACCTTCACTCCAAGCTGTGATTATCACAGAAAGCTTCCACAGGGAAGCTTAATTAATGATGATTGATTAATGGGTGGCCCCAGCAACAGCTGGAGATGGGGAGCTGGATTCTGTCACCGTGCTGGGAACGTGTGGGCAGGGTGTAGAGATTTACTCACAGGAGGGGGACTTCGTGCTGGTGGGATGGTGAGTGGGGGTGGGGGCTGAGGAGGGATTTCTTCTGCTCAGAGAGCCCCAGAAAGATACAGGGCTGCTTTTGATCTTTTTGCTGCTGTCTGGACACCTGTGTAGCTAAGGAGAGAGATTTGGAGGAAGAAGAACAGGGAAGTGGGAGGGATGTGGCTGTGGGGTGTAGCCAGGCTGGGAGTGAGTTCATCAAACCAGGACTGCTGGAATACAAAAAGACAGTTGGCAATTGGGAGCAGAAGAGCTGGGGTGCTTTGCTGGAGAGCAGCTCTGCCTCGAGACAGCTGGAGGTGAGGAACCAGCAGAGGATGGGGCCCTGCAGTGCTCTGGGCACCTGCAGGTGCTGCTCAGGCACAGCAGCCACGACGAGGGCTGTCAATGGGAGCTGGGAGGGAGGTGAGGATGGGAGGAGGGCAGATCCCAGCGCTGGGGTGCAGGTTATGCTGATGTGCGTTGTTTTTAACCATCGTTTCTCAGAGCAGATTGCTCTCTCCTCACTTCCACTGCTGGGTGGGAAGCCCCTGGGCTGTGCTGTGCATCCCTGCACCCATGGGTCTGTGCCTCCCTGCTGCCCCTTTCTGCACAGAGGGCCTTTGAGGGGAGCTCAGCCTCATCAGGCATTGGGACCACAGGAGCTGAGAAGTGATCTGAGCTGTTTTCATTGCGGCACGTGGCCAGCAGTGCTGTGCAGGCTCTGGGAGGATGGCCCTGCTGTGCCCACAGAGGATGCTCAGGGTCCTGGGGAGGCTCAGAGCGGTGGCAAACTCTCCCTGCAGTCGTTGGGGTGTGTTGGAGATCTCATCCATCCCAGCAGCCTTTAAATGGGCTTTGCTGGGTGCTGGGGTGATGGGTTTCAACATCGGCTCCTGCAAATCAGGAAAGCAGCATTAAAGTTGCAGAAGTCAGGAGTTGGAAGTGCCACAGTGTTTCTAAAAAAGAAATGGGAAAATGATGCATTTTCAGTTTGTTGGTGATTTCCTGAGCTTCTGCTCCCACCTGGGCCCCTTCCATCCCTCTTCATGCCCATAGGGAACACCTGGGCTGTGCCTGCCAGCCTCCAGGAAGGACCATGGAGAAAGGACAGATGCGATGCTTGGCAGATCCTGATGTCTCCCACCTGCAAAAAGCAGCAGCATCTCTCCTCCCCGTGAAGGCACAGGTTGTACCTTCCCCATCTGCTGAGGGTCCGTGGTGCGTTCCCAGGAGCTGGGGGTGATGCTGATTGTATGCACACTGCCATCCCCTTTTGCACACCCCTTGTCCAGAGGGAGGTTTGAGGACTAAATATGACTTTTGATAGACTGTGGCATGCTGCAAATTCACACGGACAGCGTCGTCTCAGGGCAGAGCATCCCGGGGCGCCCAGGTCCTCCAGGGGCCGTCCCTTATTGTCTGTGCATCGGATGCACTGCAGTTGGGTGCCCAATTTTCAAAGCATCTCCACGCAAAGGAGGGAGCAGAGGATCGGGGTGGGAGGACGGCAATGCGCCTTCGCGGTGAGGTGGATTAGAAAAAGATTTGCGTTTATTTTCACGACAGCCTCGTTGCTGGGATTGGAAGCTTAACTTCGAACCTGGCAGCGCTCCGCGACGATGCTAAAGGCATTTACATTTCTATACCTCTCCCCGAGGAAACCGGAGCCCTCAGCACCAGGCAGGTTTGGCCAAGGAATGGGATGAGGTGGCAGGGAGTGGGGCTGCCCCACATCCCCAGGCTGTGCTCCCCCCAGCGGTGCCACCACGACCCCCATTGCTGCACCCAAACTTTGCCTGGCTCAGCTGCCTCCGCTGCATTGACACGACTGCGGGCGCGTCGGTATCTGCCAGCTCCTGAATTTGATGGCAAGGCTGAATTTTTATGTTCCCCCTCCACATATCCCCTCCCCACCCCCCCTCTTTGGGCTTATATAACCTTGGGGATTCTATTAATAAAAGTAATGGTTTTGAACTCTGGGAACAACCATCTCCAGCGATGCCGCAACTTCTGGATGCGGGCAGCTGTTGGGTGGCACAGAGATAAAGGGCAGCGGCTCCAGGGGGGGAGGCAGAGGGATAAACGGGGGCTTCCAACCAGGAGCCCGCCTCCAGGGATTGGGCAGCACCCGGAGCAGGCCGTGCTTGTGCCTCGTTGTGTGCCAGGCATCCGCCAGCCCGTGCTTTGGCTGACAGCCATTTCCGATGGGAAATCGTGGGAAGAGCATCCCGGCCCCACGGTGGTACCTTAAAGGGATGCAAGGGGAGGGGAGGGGGGGGGGTAAGGGAGATAGTGAAGGAATTTGGTATAAAGGGCTCAGTGCCAAAATTAGGAGCTGTTTCTCGGCCATGGCAGGAGCTGGGAAGGGACCTGCAGCTTTTGCCTGGCTCTGGGTTTAGGGGTTTTTTTTTGCTGTTGTTTGATCCCTAAGATGCCTGCGAGGTGTTTGAAGGGTTTAAGGTAACATTTGAGAGGTCGAATTTAGGACCGTAAGCAACAAAACTCAGAAGGGAACCTAAGCAAGGGTGCTCAGAGCTGCAAGAAACACGGCTCACTTTTCCTTTTGGGTGACCGTTGCATTTGGTCTCCTCCATCGCAGTGTCTGTTTTGCTTTCTGCCTCGTGACGTGGGATTACCAGCTGGTTCCAAAGAAACACTGAGATCTCACTCAGCTGTCAGCTGTAGGTTGGCTTTGGTTTTTTGTTGTTTTGTTTTGTTTGGGGCTTTTTTTCCCCCCCTTTAAATCTCTCCCATTGAAATGGTCACAGCTTGACAGCCTCGTGCTGGGAACGCGCTGTCATCCTGAAACTCATATCTTTAATTCCTTCCTCGGGATGCTAATCGCACCTTAAGATGATTAAGGCTGGAAAAAGCCCTCGTGTTTTGTTTTTCTCCTCCCGTTGGTGATGCTGTTTGCTGGCTCTTGCCACTTCATTCATCTCAGGGAGTTAATGAGACTGCCCACCTCCCCCCCCCTGCCCTGTGCCACTGTGTTCCCAATCAGTTTTACTTTTGGCTTCTCATCACGGTGCTGTCGGGCTGCTTTGTGTGATGCACAGCTTCCCTCTGCTGCTGTGTCACCTTTGGAGTGCATTTGGAGTTCTGACAGCTTGTTGAAAGCCATTCTACAGCCTCCCGTCTCCGTGCCTCAGTTTCCCCATGAATAAAGAGCCCCTTGCTCTCCATGCCACCAAGCAGAGCTGCCTGCTGCCACCTGGTTGCAGGAGACACGGGTGGCTCATTTTCTCTCATCTGTGTGCTGGTGCAGCACGGGACGCAGCAGGATCGTGGCTGCCCTGCACAGCTTGGGCTTTGTAGGGCTTTGGTGGCTCAGAAGGAGCCCTCAGCTTTTCTACCACCATCAAGATCCTGAGCAGGGAGGGAGAAAGAAGCAGAGGAAAGCGGGCAGTGAGATAGGAGATCAAAACTGCTGGACTCAGGCTTGGCACAGCCTGTGGGCTGAGCGTCCCTGCGGTCCCCATCCTCCTGGTGTCCCCATGTTCCCAATGTCCCTTTTCTTCTCATGTTCCCAACACCCCTGTTGTCTCTGGTCCCCAGGTTCTCAGCATCCCCATGCTGCCAGTGTCCTTTTGGTCCCAACATCCTTATGATCCTCGTGTTCTCACCATCCCCGTGCTCCCAGTGTGGTCCCACTGTCCTCGCATCCCCTCCATCCCACACATCCGGACCCCCAGATCACCACGTGAAGCTCGTAACACCTTTCTCCCTGCAGGAAGAGCAGCCAAGGCATCGACGATGACTGCCGAGAGCACCGAACCCAATGGCCCCATGCGGGAGCCGACGGTGGGGGGCACAAAGCCGTCAGCCCCCCCTGCCCCACCGCGGCGCCGAGGCCGAAGGCTGCGACGGAAGTCACTGCCGGAGGTGGCGGTGAAGGGACAGCTTCGCATGCGCTCACCGTCGGGAGCCTTCGTCATGGTGGGCATCTCGGTGGTCTTGGTAGGCATGACCATTGCCGTGGTGGGCTACTGGCCCCACCGGGGGCATGGAGGTGCTGGGGCTGGAGCGAGGAACGCCAGCACGGCGGGGGACATGAGGAGGGAGGTGGTTGCTGGGCGTCCCGCGCCCCACAATGAGAAGCTGAAGCTGATCGGCCCTGTCATCATGGGCATCGGGCTCTTCATCTTCATCTGTGCCAACACCATGCTCTACGAGAACAGGGACATGGAGACCCGCATGCTGATGCAGAAAGGCCTCTACTGCATGGCCACGGATCTCCCCAAGGAGACCAGCCCCAAGGATGAGGACACCCGGCTGGTACCCAAAGCCAGCCCTGAGTGCTTGGAGGGCTGCTATGAAGTGGACCTGTCCTTGGGCAGCAAGTGGGCTGATGGCTTTGGCCCCAACAGGCTGCAGACCACAGCTGAGCTCATGCAGTGCCCGGGGGCATCGCCGGCAGCCTCCCTCCTCAGCCTCCACTCGGAGGCAAACCTGGGGCTCTCCGCCACCATCGGGGCCTTGGCGTTGCCCATCATCAAGCTCAACAACCGCTTGCTGGATGCCGCCTCACGGGCGGCCAATGGGATGACAGAGGGAGCCCAGCTCCCCGCCGAAGGCCCGGCGCCCTCCTGTGCCCTGCTGTCCCCCAGCAGCGGCAGCATCGCAGCTCGGGGCCTGGAGAACCACGGCGGCCACGTCGTCATCAACGTGGAGGACGGTGGCCCCACGGTGCATGCGGGCCCCGATGCTCAGCCCCACAACCCGGGCCACTCCAAGTCCCTGGACCTGGGCCGGCCGGGGGTGCTGCTGGTGGCTCCCATCAAGGACCGTAAAAACCGGAGTTGGCCCCGGCTCGATCACGTCAACGCGGTGGCTTATGCCAAACTGGAGAACTGGGGGGAGTCCTTGGACCGGCTACTGGAGACCAGCGGGACGCCACACCATGCTGAGCCCCGGCCCAGCTCCTGGGTGGTGGGCATGGAGGGGGGCTCGCGGGTCTGACGGCCCCGGGGTTGAGGGTTTGAAGCAGACTTTTGATGCTGAGAGATCCCCGAGCCTGGGGAGGGCTCCCGGGTTGGGACCTTTGCTTCTCCTCGCCTGCCTCCTCTTCCTCACCACCTTCCCTGGGATGCTCTCAGTCTTACAAAGCCCTTCTGCTGGCAGCCTTCCTGGAGGAGCCCTCACTTGTAGACCCACGGTGGACCATGGCATGGGGTCGGGGTGAGCAAAGCACAGATGGGTCCCTTTGCCCAACCCAAAGGGAAATTTGCTTGAGCAGAGCCTGACAGGGCCATTAAATGTTACCTTGATGCCACGCAGTGCTCCCTAGTCTCATGCTCAGGATGGGAGTGGGGCATCCCCACCACTCTGGGCTCTGGGCAGTGTGGGAAAGCGTGTGAGAAAGGTGGACAGGGGGAGCTTTTCCTGCACAAACATCCCCACTTCACTGGAGCCGATCACCAGCCCCACCAAACCTCTGCTTTCCCTGAAATTGCCTCAAACCTGGGTACAGACCCATCTCATCCCTTGTTCCTTCAGCCTCTGTGCTCAGAGGACTCGGTTTCCCATAGGGAATGCCAGAGGTGTTCATTGCGCTGGTCCTGTGGGGTTTGTGCCATACGGGGTCCAACTGCCTGCAATGGGGCTCAGCTCCTTCACAGCCCCTCTGTGCAGGTATGGCAGCAGGAATGCTGTGTGCCCTGCTGCTGTGTGTGTGCAGAGAGGTGGTGAGCTCAGGGGGATGCAAAAGGAGCCCAGGGAGCTGCAGATGTTGGTGCTGCTGCCCGCTTCATGCTGTCTGGGCAGCTGCAAAGTTCAGGCAACAAAATGGAAAAATTCCTGGAGTGTAATTGTTTCCGAAGCTGGTTTGGGGGTGGAGATGATAGTTTTGTTTGGATGCAAGCAACAGGAGGATGCAGTGGGGGAGAGGAAGGGGCTGGCTTTGGTTTTATGGTGCTGCTGGCTGCTCTTGTGTTACTTGGTGCTGTTTGGCTGCAGGATGGGAGCTGCTGAGGGGCATCACGTTGTTTCCATGAGGACAAACCAGAGAAGGTTGTTTTGCAGCACTGCGGTCCATGCCTGATCCTGCTGCTGCTCCGGTGCTCAGCAGGGCCCTCCCTCCCCAAATTCTTTCCAGCAGCAGCAGCTGGGGACACATCCCCAAACCTCCCAGCTCCTCTGCAGGCTGCAGTGGATCCTCACTCAGAGCTGCTGCTCTTGCCAGCGACCCGGGAGGCACAGCAGCATGGCTTTGCTGCACGGGCTGGATCCCTGCCTCTCCTATCCCAAGAGCAAAGTTGTGGTGTGGGGCTGAGTGTCAGCTGCTGAAATATGTCTTTGCTGAATGAAATGGTTTTGTTTTCTCTTTTGTTCCCATCCCCACGAAACAAGCACAGAGTTTTTTGGACCTTGGAAGCTGCAGGACAATGTCTTTTTTCAGCCCGAACCATTCTGCAGAACATTTTGACTTGGCAGCCATGTGCTCTGGCACAAACACACCACACTGTCACTGCCAAAGCCCCTTCTGTCCTCAAGCAGAGCTGTGCTGGTGCTGGGGACAGGGGGAGGGCAGGAGCTGCCATGGCTCACCAGCAGCTTGCATCTCCACCCTGATTAGCAGTGGTGACGGCACACAGCACCAGGACTGGGAATAGGCAGGTGAACGCCTACGAGGCTCAAAGCACTGATTTTAGAGCAGTCAGGGCTTCTTTTTCTTTCCCTCTTGGGAAATTTGGCATTGTATGTTTCTTCTCAGCGTCTGCTTCATGCTCTTCTGCCTCCACTTTGCTACAAAGCAGCCCAGCAAGCAGACGGGCTGCAGTTGGCTTCCTGCTTAACCTCCAGGTGATGCAGCACTCAGTGAGTGCATAACCCAACCAGCCAAAAAGCCACCAAAGGGCTCCCGGGGCAGGAATGCACCCAGAAGCTATTTGAGATCAAAAGTAACTTCTCCTTTGCGTGCACCCACACATCCCCCAGCTCTGCTGCTGCCCTGGGACACAGCGTTGGAAGCAGCACTGCTGCGGCGGTGCTTCCATCCCACCACAAAGTTCAAGCAGCCCAAAAGCATCTCAGTGCTGTGCAGCTGTAATGCAATGCCTTAAGCTGGGGCAAAAAAATGAAAAATAAAAATACATATATATAATAACCAGGTATGGAAAAGAAATGGAGGGAATCTGCTATTTTGCAGAGGGTTTCCAGCTGCTCAGCCCTGGGCTCATTTGCAGCATTTCCCACCCTGCACTGAGCAAACTCAGAGCTGTGATGCTGCCTGCAGTCGTGTCTGTTTCTCCCCCACCCCCTGAAGATTTAAAGTCTATGCAAAGGAAAGCACTCTGCTGGTGCTGATGCTGCAGTGCATGGATCCCACAGATCTCAGTGGGGCTGATGCAGTAGGGGGGAGTTTCCAGTCCCATCCCCATCACTGGGATGCAGGGGTTGGGGTGCAGGGCTGCCCCAGTGCCCCTCGTGCCTCCTGGGCAGGGAGAGGGGCTGTGGGTGCTGGGTGTCACAAGTGACAGCACTGACCCTGCCCACAGCAGCTACGTTCTGGCTCCCAGAATGGCATCAACAGCCTAAAAATATCCCCATAGGATGCAGATGGGAACGTTCTGCTCCAAGTGGGATCAGGAAAAGGGTGGGAATGGGGGAGCAGTGGCTTTGGCTCCTCTAAATGGATGGGAGCTGTGAGACACAGCCTGGGTGTGTGGCCTTTAGGAGGTGTGCTTTGGGATCGCTGGTTTTCCTTTGGGTTTGGGGGATTTCCTTTTTATTGGAATTCCTTCACATTTCCATGGTGTTTGTTTGCCTGTTTTTATTTCCCTTGCAGGCAGGCTCTGCACGGGGGGAGGGGGAAACTGAGGCAGGGGTTAAAAGGATGCAGGGCCAACTCCTCACCTCACCAGCTGAACATTGTGCCAAGTTTTGCTCCTTCTGCCCCAAACTCGTGTTTCTGACCCTTCTCCATTTCCCTCTATGGCACAGGGCTGCTCCTGCAGGGACAGGGTTCTGCCTGGGTCGTGCACTGGGGACTTCAGCAGCCCTCCCCACCCCCAGGGCAGGGTTATTTAAGGAGCGTTTGGGGCTCGCTGGCGCACACGGTGATCCTAATGGGGTTGGACAAACCTCAGAGCCCGGGGCAGCGCTGGCTCAGCGACCCGATGCGCTTTGCAGCTTCATCTTTGCGCTGGGTCGGCCGCACCGCGCTGAGGACCGATGGAAGAGGCAGCTCCAGCAGCGGCCGTTTCCCAACTGTTTGTGGCTGATTTCTATGGCCCTCTTTTAAGTTCTGCCCACAGCGGGTTGCAACTGAAAGCACGGAGCGGTTCAGGAGCCAATTGGCCCCCAGCCCCCCTGCAGCACCGCCAAGCGCGCCGTGTCAGCACTGCTGTTGGTATTTCTGCTGCTCTTAAGGACGCTGTGGATGGGATGGATGCTTCCCTGCCAAACAGAAGCAGCTAAAAGCGGTGTCAGACAACATCTCTGCTCTGTTTGGTCACAGCCATTCCTGTTTGGCAGCGGTGGCTCCGCAGAAGCGCTCACCTGTTCATGGGATGCTGTGGGGGAAGCTGGGTGCTCAGGCTCTGCTGCAGGGATCCCATCCCAACCCGGGGCTGCAGAGGGAACTGCAGGGAGCAGTGCTGGGAGAGAGCTGGCAAGGAAACGGCTTGGGAGGCAGGGATGTGGTTTTGTTTGAAAATTTATTGAAAAATGCAATACAAGAAGCAATACCAACACTTAGGTCTGTCTAAAGGCTACGGCAACTTTCCCTTTGATTTACTATGAAAGTCCAAAATAACAGCTCCCATCACTAGTCAATCTATAAAGATCTGCCAATAAGTCTCTATTTTTATAAAGAAGGGTGTAAACAGCTAGCCTAGACAATTCACCATTGCCTTAAAGACTTTACAAAGCTCCTTCATATCTCAACTAACTTTTTTTTGTGTGTTTTTTTTTACAAGTTTAATCTCTAAGGTCAGGGCACTACCACCTCTTCAGGCAATTGTACAATTAGGAAATCGGCAAACCACAGTTCTTTAAACCAGAAATCAGACAGGCCGTGGGTAACACCCCAGAAATTGCTGTTTGCTGACTGGAGCCAGGTTTAATGGATGAGCACGGGTCACGAGCTCCGCTCCTTCTATAAAAACATTCATTCATATATAAATAGCTTCCATATAATGTCTATTATACAATCAAGACAGTCTCTGGGTGAATTTGTGGAGTGGGAAGAGCTGGGAACATTCATAAAAATAGACCTTAGTTGCTTTGTCCCTGACACAGCGAGCTTTAACAACCTGGTGCAGGAAGGGGTGCGGGATGCACACCGGGGCTGCCAGCTGGAGCAGTGCTGCACAGAGCAATGCTGCACAGAGCAATGC